AAACCAAAACAAAATAAACCCTGATATTTTTGGGCAGATCACCTTATCCATGTTTCCTAAACACAGTATATCAATCTACTGAATAATTTAGTATATTGATTAAATCACTATGGTAGTATAGAACATAAGCTTATTTATTACCATATTTATTTCTTTTATTGTATGTGTACTATATATGTGTAGGTGAGCATGTGTGGAGTTCAGAGAACAACTTGTGGAAGTTGGTTCTTCCTTTCCACCATGTGGACTGAACTCAGATGTCAAGCTTTGGTAGTGAGTGCCTTTATGTGCTGAGTCATCTTGCCAGCCCATAGCTTTTAAAAAGTAGGATTGTTTTCTTTTACTATTTCAGCCATTTAATGTCTGACATTGAATACAAGTTCAAAAAGTATTTTTCAAATTGAATTAAATATATTTATGGGCAATTTGAAAACATGAAACATAAAGTACCAATAATAATCTCTCTCAAAAATAAACTTTCCCCGCAGAAAACTGTATTTAAGCCTTTTTAAGTTGACAAGTCCTCATTTTTGTCAACTGAAGTTCTAGGCATAGGCTTCCCACTGAGTCTCTGAATCTTAACTTAGCACTAGGTATATAATAGATGCTCAGTAAGTATTTATGATTAAAACACTTGAAAAACAAAGAAATTGCTAATGTACATGACATAACAGAGATGAGAAGCAAGTATGAACTAAGTTAAGATGAGTATGAACAAATTCTTGGCAATGGCAGGAGTCAAACAATGAAAAGCTGCTGAGAATGTAGGTCAGTGGTAGAACAGCATGCATTAGGTCCTATGTTTGTTCTCTAGCACCACACTAAAAGAATGAACAAAACCAGATAGGAATAGAGATATGTCGAGAGGCTTTAAATAAAACAGGTCATAACCAAGGCAACTTTAAAAAACAGACAGAACAATACTTACTTTCAGTTACTCCCCCAATAGCAAGAGAAATAATAGCTAAAACATTCTCACATGCCGAATGATTTATCTACCAACAGAGAAACAAATAAAAATTTAAGAGCAAGAATTCAGTCTAATCTGTTTACAATAAAAACAAGTTCTCTGAATGAAAGCAATCATACAGAAATAAAATTATCTTATACAAAGTTATTTTCTAAGATGAGAAAATATGAACAGTAATATACAGACTACAGAAGTGTGTCAGTAGTAAAGAGTGATTCAATCAAAATCCAATGGTCTTGGAAAAATGCTAATTATTACATAATTAAGATTTACTAGGTATAGAAGTACTGAGGTTGTGACTAAAAATCAACAGCACAGGACAAAAGCAGGATGAGTACTGTATTGTGTTACACAACACTGACAGAATGGTGCTACTCTTCTTACAAATGAAGCTGAGACTCTGAAAGGAAAGCGATTGTCTAAGCACTTCACAGCACAGAAGTGATTACATCTAAAAAATCAACTGGTCTGACCCAGAAGATCTACCACTATGGGAGAGCCCTGCTTGACCAAAAATAAACTGTTTTTCTTGCATTCAGGATCCCTGCTAAAAGCAATATTTAGATTCCTCATGGTGAGATTAAATTTCTCTACCAGGGCTAAAGAAGCCTGAGTTTTTATGTATGCTTATGGCTGAGGAAGATCTCACAAGAAAATAAGGGCATAGAATCCAAGTTCTATTCCTAACATACTTAGACTAGACTGCTTATGCCATGAAACAGTGTGTCACCATTTACATAGTAAAGTGACAATCTACTTTTAAAACTACATTTGAAAAATGTAATTTGTGTACGTGTGTGTTTCTATATGTGTATGGAGGTCAGGGAACAACTTGCAGTTGTCTTTTTCCAACATCTCTGTTCTACAGATCAAAGTTAAGCCACTAAGTTCTGTAGCAGGTGCTTTGAACCTGCTGAGCCATCTTCCTGGGTTAGTCTTTACTTCTTGCTCTTTAAGACTGCATGTCAAACTGTTATTATCAGACCCTTAAATTGTACCTGAGCTATCAAGACTCTTCATTAGGATGCTCAGAAAACAGATGTCATGTTTAAATATTCATTCTAATATAAAGCAATTTCCTAATAACTAGCCAACAAATTTTAACAACAAATAAAGGGAACAAAATACTTACAATTTCTTCTTCCAGAACACCTCTGAAAGCTTGGTCAAGGGTACATTTTTTTTCATTTTCACTATTAAAAACAAAAATGAAAAAAAAAAAACCACTTCATTTCACAAATAGTTCACTATTAATATAAACATTTACGAAGTCCTTTTCCATAGACAATGATGTTTTACCTCCCAGGTAACTGACTGAAGGCATTCAACAATGGCTTGATATTTCTGTTATTCAAGGCCTCTCTGGTAGATTTCTATAAAAATAAAAATGACAAATAAGTAGAAAGCTTTTGCTTGCTGTTTATGAAAATTTACCATTCATCAACTAGTTGTCTTGCTAAATTAAAAAATGTTTTTAACGGAAATATTTCCTGCCAGTTATTTTTACTAACCTTTATTTCTAATGCCACTTAATGATCCTCATCCTCATTGCTGGAAACCTGGCAAGAGCTCCTAGATAGACATTTGCATCACAGGTGTCCTTTTCTTATACAGTATTACATCCATGCAAGTTTTTTTTTTTAAAAAAGCTAAGTATGGCACAGCGCTCTATAGCCAGCACTGGGGAAGCAGATGCCAGTGAATCATCGTTTAAGGTCGTTCTGTATCCTCTGAGTTCCAAGTCTAGCCTGGGCTTCATAAAAAAAAAAAAAAAACCTGTCTAAACAACAAACCAAATCCCCAATCCTTTACATGGTTCTTTAATTGCATGTTTTGGTTTTGAAATTTTGTAGTTCCCTCAAGACCTAGTGACATTACAGTTACCAGACTTATCCCCCACCTTCTAACAACACATGCAATGAAGTGTGGCAGCATTTAAATGCCAATTCCTATGAACCCTCATTTCAGCATGTTCACACACTTGTGCTGTTCCTTATGTCTGTTCATTCCAAGTCTATACATTCTTTCAGACTCAGCTCAATGCTCAACTCTTCCAGCCATTTTGCTCATCCATCACAGTACCAGGAAAATCTAAGCAATGAATAAATGATTGTCTAATGATTGTCTTTTTTTTTTTTTTTTTTTCGAGACAGGGTTTCTCTGTGGCTTTGGAGGCTGTCCTGGAACTAGCTCTTGTAGACCAGGCTGGTCTCGAACTCACAGAGATCCGCCTGCCTCTGCCTCCCGAATACTGGGATTAAAGGCGTGTGCCACCAACGCCCGGCTTTTTTTTTTTTTTTTAATGATTGGTTTTAAACGATTGTCTTAAACTGGCCATTTATCACACACACACACTTTATTTTATAGAGGACAAAAAAACTGCAGTCATTGTACATATTTGGAAAGCTGTCTTATTACCCCATAAAGGCTTCTACCTGTACAATGAGTGTCCATTCCTGGCTCTATCACCGGGTAAACAGAGTCGCTTAGGGATCATTCCTTTCTTTTGTTTCTCCACCATCACCAGTTAAAGATGAGTGGTGTTGTATTTGAGTCCTTACTATTATCAGTGACAGTGATATTTCATGGGAACTTGTTAAAAATGCAGAATCTCTGGCCTCCACTTTAGGCTTGATAAGTATCTTCATTTCATAAGCTCTCCAGGTAATAACACACAGCAAAGCTTGAGAACCACGGGTCTAAGTGATCTACAATTAAACGGTGCTATCTATCGTTCAGTGGTAGTTTTTTGTTTGTTTGTTTGTTTGTTTCTAATGACATAAGCAAGGAATAATCCCTCAAAAGCAAACAAAACGCGTGGCAAAGCAGAAAAGGACTTAAGACAACTACTGATTATGAAGAATCTTTTTCCTCTCATATAATTTTCCTTCTGGTATCATTGCAACCACCTAAACACATTTAAACATCTAAGTCGAACCCTGCATGAAGTCTTAGAACAAATGGTAGATATTATGGGCCAAATAGCTTGGAAAAGTGTTCTTCGTGCATATACTGCTATGGTGGGCAACACAAAAAGGACCGTGGGTTTAAAGTCAGAAAAACGAGAAGAGCCAGTCAATTCAATTTTGCTTTTTAATGTCTAGCTCACGTACCAGAGACAAGAAAGCAACCTATTTTAGTGCTACTCTAGCACTAAACCATCATCAAAGGTTTCATACAGGCTCACCCCCCCACCCTTTCCCCAACAGCAAGGAGGAAAAGCAGCTGGACCCTCCAGCTAGGAACCCTCCACGGTGATCAGTCTGCCTCGTCCCGCTGAGGAGCTGCCCGGCCATCTCTGGTGCAATGAGCAAGGCCCGGGAGGTGCAGGCAGCCGGGCGGCGGCACGGGGCTAGCAGCGGCGCCGGGGCTGACGGA